TTTTGGAGGCTCGTGGGACCAGTTTTTGCCTTTAGCGGAGTTTGCCTACAACAACAGCTACCATTCCAGCATTCAGATGGCCCCATATGAGGCGTTGTATGGTAGGCGATGTCGGTCTCCAGTCGGATGGTTTGAGACGGGAGAGGCTCGGTTATAGGGTACAGATTTAGTTCAGGAGGCCTTGGATAAGGTCAAGATCATTCAGGACAGGCTTCGTTTGGCTCAGTTGCGGCAAAAGAGTTATGCGGATCGTAAGGTTCGAGATGTAGCTTTCATGGTTGGTGAGCGGGTCTTGCTCCGAGTGTCACCTATGAAGGACGTGATGAGATTTGGGAAGAAGGGCAAGCTTAGCCCTAGGTTCATTGGCCCATTTGAGATTCTCGATCGTGTGGGAGAGGTGGCTTACAGACTTGCCTTGCTGCCCAGCTTGTCAGCCGTGCATCCAGTGTTTCATGTGTCCATGCTCCGGAGGTACCACGGCGATCCAGCCTACGTGTTAGATTTCAGCAGTGTCCAGTTGGACAAGGATCTGTCTTACGAGGAGGAGCCGGTAGCTATTATAGACCGGCAGGTTCGACAGTTGAGGTCGAAGAGTTTTCCTTCAGTGCATGTCAAGTGGAGAGGTCAGCCTCATGAGGCATCGACCTGGGAGTCCGAGTCTGATATGCGGAGCCGTTATCCTCATCTATTTCCCGACTCAGGTACTTCTTTCTTTTGTCCTTTCGAGGACGAACGATTGTTTTAGAGGTGGAGGATGTGACGATCCAAAGGGTCATCACCTGTTTCCTCATTCATTCCGCGCTTCCGAGGCCTTGAAAACCTCATTTTTACTTGCCTCAATTTGCGTGCGCAGTCGGGGCGCGTAGCCGGAAAGATTATATGTTAAATTTTGTGAAAATTTTCAAAATGTGGCTTTAAAATGATTAAAGTTGACTTTGGTCAACATTTTTGGTAAACGGACCTAGACCCGTGATTTGACGGTCCCGGAGGGTCCATAGAAAAATATGGGACTCGGGCATATGTCCGGAGTCGAATTCCGAGGTCTAGAGCCCGAGAAAAGAATTTTTCTGTGAAATTGTTTTTCTGAAATTATTAAGGAAAATGAAAATGAAAATTGATTAAAAGACTGTGGTATCGGGCTCGTATTTTGGTTTCGATGCCCGGTACAAGTCTTAAATATGGTTTAAGTGCTTTCTGTGAAATTTGGTTGAAATCGGACGTCGTTTGACGTGTTTCGGACTATAAGTTCCAAATTTGAAAGTTTATGAAACTTAGAAGAAAATCATGTGTTTTGAGGCTTGATTCTAATTTCTATGTATATGATGTTGTTTTGGCGATTTGATCGCACGGTTAAGTTCGTATGAGGTTGTTGAGTTAGTGTGGGTGTTTAGTTAGGAGCCCCGAGGGCTCGGGAGTGATTCGGAGGTGGTTCGGGGTGTTTGAAACTTAGAGAAATTGCATAAAACTATTGTTGCTGGTGTTCAGGTAAAATGCCCTCTGCGATCGCATACATCTTCCTACATCGCGTAGGGTTAATTGATCAGGTCCATTTTTCTGCTCTATACGATCGCATGAACTACTCAGTGATCGCGTACCTTAGCCCCTTCGTTCTATGCGATCGCATTAAGCTTCCGCGATCGCGTTTCATTAAACCAACCCCGGTATGCACAGCCCCTTTTCTTCTATGCGTTCGCATAACCAGTCCTGCGATCGCAGTGGTCAATTTTCCCTTCCCCTATGCGATCGCAAGCCTCCTTCTGTGATCGCATAGAGTAAATACGCCCAGTGATTTTTTTAAAATGTTCAAAACAGAATAGTTTCGGGACTTAGGCATTTTTCTCACGAACTCTCTTCTTCCCCAAGCTTTAGGACTCCATTGAAGCCCCCACTCATCAAGATCACTTGGGTAAGTAATTTTCCACTTATTTCCTTCATTTTTCTTCATTAATTAGTAAGTTCCTAAGCCTAAATCATGAAATCAAAGTAGAAATTAAGGGTTTTGGGTAGAGTTAGGTTTTTGGGAATTTTGGGTGATTCAACCTCAATTTGGGGTCGAATCTTAAAACAAATTATATATTTGAACTCGTGGGGTTATGGGTGATTGGGTTTTGGTCCGAGCCTCGTGTTTGGACCATGTGGGCCCGGTGTCGAATTTTGGTATATTTGGAAGAATGCTAGGAAATTCATATCTAGGCTATGGGGTGTTGCCATTGAGTCTTTATTGATATTATTGAATTAATTATGCCTAGATATCATTGTTCGGAGTCGGATTGTAGAGGAAAGGCGGTATTTGAGGATTGATTGCTATTCTTTGGACCGAGGTAAGTGTTTGGTCTAACTTTGGCTTGAGGGAATAGGATTAGAGTGTTGTTTGCTAATTGCTAAATGTTGAGTACGGTGTATAGGCATGGTGACGAGTATCTATACACCGGTGTCTAGCATGACCGTGGGTCCTTGTTTGTACTTATTCTCATATTGTTATGGCTCTTCCATGTTAATTGATGAATTCTATGTAATGTGAAGAGTATGGGGACTAATTATGAATTGTGAATTCTTTGGAGCGTTGGCTCGAACAATAAAAAGACTATTGGGTAAGAAATGAAAGAAATGGAAAGAGATATGATTAATCCCTTGCCGAGATTTAGCTGTTTACTTGTGATTTTCCCTTGCCGGGACATTTCTTATTATTTGTTTATCCCCTCGCCCCGTTTGGTTGTGATTACTGTTTGGGTGAGGAAGAGTGATAATGCACGAAGGGTCATCCCGTGCCATGTTTGATTATATTTGCACGAAAGGTCATTCCGTGCCATGTTTGATTCTATTTGCACGAAGGGTCATTCCGTGCCATGTTTTGATTATTTACACACGAAGGAACATTTCGTGCTCTGATTTGATTATAATGCACGAAGGGTCATTCCTTGCCATGTTTGATTATATTTGCACGAAGGGTCATTCCGTGCCATGTTTGATTCTATTTGCACGAAGGGTCATTCCGTGCCATGTTTTGATTATTTATGCATGAAGGAACATTCCGTGCTCTGATTTGATTACAATTGCACGAAGGATCATTCTGTGCCATGATTTGAGAGTTATGTGAGGGAAAGCACGAAGGTTGATGCCGTGCACTTTACTTGATTGTTTTTGGTGAGAATGAGAGTAAAAGCACGAAGGTTGATGCCGTGCAACTGTTAATTTTCCTGTTCTCAATAATTATTGTTATTGCCCTGTTTCTTACATTAAATTGTTGACCTTAAATCCGGATTGTATTTTCCCATAGTATGCTCCCCTCCCTCCTAACTGTTTAACTTTTGTGTTCTTTCCTTTTGTTGCATATAGTTTTGTTAGTCCTGTCTAGACTCGTCACTACTTCGCCGGGGTTAGGCCAGGCACTTACCAGCACATGGGGTCGGTTGTGCTGATGCTACACTTTTGTGCTCTTTTGCACAGATCACGGTACCGGAGCAACTTTTGGACCACAGCAGTAGTGGATTGGGAGCCGACTTCAGTCCAGGGACTTACGAGGTAGCCTAGCTTGCATTCGCAGGCCGGAGTCCCTTTTTATGTACACAAAATATAAAAATAGTATTGACAAAACAAATTGGTGTCATATCATGGGTGAAAAGACTTAATGGCAGAGGGAATAAAATCGCCTCACAGTTCTTTTTTTTCTTCTTATTATTTTACTTAGTCTTGCTGCAATAGGTTTATAAATGAAATATTTCACTTCTACAAAGGAGTTTGTCTTCAGTTCCAGGTCAACAAGTCCGAAAGACATGTGAAGTAGCTTTCAATCCAATCTAACAGTTGACCAATGTAGGAACTGATGACGGTTCCTCAAGAATGTTGTCGTCACTCTTTCTGTCCGTAGTCCAAGCTGCTTCTGCTAATTATTCCTTTGTCGAGCTCCTAAAGAATTTTTTTTTAGTGAATAACAGTCCATGTATGAACGCTATGCTTATCTTTTTGGATTACAGAACAATGGAAGAGAGCAAGCTATTTCTATGATTAGTGAATATTTAGGTTGAGAGAGTGGTATATAAAAGCATGAGTTGGCTTATGTATTCTGTCAATTGCAGACCGAAAAATAGTTTTGTTTTTCAACCAAAGTTACAAAGGGAGTGACCAAAGTTAGAAGGAAATGGAGGAAATGCAATGAAGATAATTCTGCTAACTTTCATGACTAGCGTAAAGGTATAGCTTTTCGTTTTGCTTATCACAGCCATTTACCTTTATGATGAACCAAAGTAAGAATGCAATGAAGGTTATTTTATTTTTCAACCAAAGTTATTTTTTCCTTAAGAAGCTTCGAAATTTCTCACACCTTATTTTGTTCCTTTATGTGTCTACCGCATTTTACAAATAATATTTTCTTATAAAAATTATATTTAATATTTTTCGTGCAACGCGCGGGTACGGATACTATAAAGAATATAATACTTAAACCAAACACACTATTATCTTTTAATTTAAAATATAGTATTCAAATCAAATATACCAGAATATTCTAATTTGGAATATAATTTCAAACTAAATATAACTTTATTTTTATTTATTGTGTATATTTTTTTTACTTGTAATATTAACATGATATATATAATAGTACACAATGAAGAGTTTACTGAATAATTGTTTATTGTATAGAAGAAAATAAGGATAAGTGCTCCCATAATAAAAGGCTTTGTTTAATGAAAAATCTTCTGTATTTTTTAATTTTGGTCCAAAGTTTAAAACGGATGGAGTGAATTTGCTTCATATAGATAATTTCCTTTAATAGGGGGCAAATTTATATGATAGTTATTGTTCTTTGACAAAATGTATATGTGGGTAACTAATTGATGTGTACTATATATAATTTTATAAGTGAAGTGTATTGTGTTAGGGGTTCTTAAAAGTGTGAAGTTCCCTTCTGCTAATATGTAATCTTTTCTTTTAGCCTTTGTTCTTAGTGCAAAGCTATCAGCATTTCAGCAGCCAAAATCAGCATTTCAGCAGCAAAATCAGCATTTCAGCAACAAAAATACAGAATTCCAGCATTTCAACAGCGAAAATATCAGCATTTCAGCAGCGAAAACAGCATTTTCAACAGCGAAATCAGCATATCAACAGCAAAAATTCGGCATTTCAGCGGCAAAAGTACTCATTCCAGCATTTCAACAGCAAAATATCACCATTTCAGCAACAAAATATCAATATTTCAGCAGCAACAATATCAGAACTTCAGTCATGTTAAGAATCAAATTCTTGAGCACATTGCATATGTTCATGCGCCACGTGTCCTCTTCTTACCTACAAACAAAATATATGGTACTATTACTCATTCATATTATAATAACTTAATAAACAGAATTCAATTGTAAGTTATTGATACCGGAAGCTTTGCACGAGTTGACGAGGCTGGAGCATAAGATGAAGACTCATCAACTTGGGAATCTGGCTGAACAATATTAAATTTGCATGTTCTTTTATTGTGGCCAGCATTATGACATAAGCTACAAAGCAAAGAATTCTGCTTTCTTTTCATTTTAGTTCTAATTGCTCCTACTTCATCTGGTTCTTTTCTCCTTAATTTTTGCTTTCTTCCTTTTGTGCTTGTTCTTACTAGTTGTGGAGGCAAAGGAGGCACGTTGCTGGACTTAGGCCACATATGCTGACCATTCATAGGAAGAATAGCAAAGTCATTATATGTTTCCACCTTGTAGCAATTATGAGCATAGGAATTAATCTCATCTTTTTTAGCCCAAATTGCAGCAATGGCATGCTTGCAAGGAATTCCTGTCAGATCCCATTTCCTACAACTGCATATTTTGTTTAGCAAGTCCACAGCCCACTTATCATGTATGCTTGCCCCTATAATCTCGTAGTTCCACTCATTTGATTTTCTAGGAATGAACTCCGCAACACCCACTTGATTTTTATGCAATATATCCTTAATTCTAGGACATATATCAGCAATATTCCACCTGGCAACTTTATCTTTATTTGCTTGCATTCTAGCCATAAATAAATACCTTCAAAAATCTCAACCATGCACTACAAAAAACGCTAAATTTGTGGCGGTTTTATTGCGGCGATTCTTATAACCTTCGCAATCTATAACAAATTGTGGGGGTTAATTTACCCCCGCAAATATATTAAATTTGCGGCGGTCGACAACCTCCGCAACCATTAAAAAAAAATAGCGCCCACTAACCCCAATCTTTCCCTCGTTTTTAATCCTTTCCCGCTCTTTTTTTTCCCAAACCCCTTTCTCATGTTCGCTTTTTTTCATTTTCAGAAACCCTCACTTAATCACTTAATAAAAAATAGCCAAACCTTAACTCACAAAATCGCTTCTTCTCATATGGGCTTTCTTCTAATCTGCAGATGACAAAAAATGAAAGCTGTAAAACTTCAGATCAAAACAGATTTTGAATGATTAGGGTAAACAACCACGAAAACGAAGAGGAAAATTGTATAGTCTCAATGGGAAGCCGAAATCTTCTAATCTTCTTCTGTTAATTTGCTGTCGAATTCTCTACAGGTAGCTGTAAAACTTAATCTCTTCCATTTCTTCTTCACTTAATCTCTTCCATTTCTTCTTAATTCCTTCCGATTTCAAGCCCGTGTAGCTCTCTGCTTTTCTTCAGCGCCTCCTCTTTCTTCAGTGCCTCCTCTGTTGCAAAATGAAAGAGACTTCATATCTATCAATCAATTGGATGTAAGTTTATTTGATTTTGCTCTTTCATACAAATTCCTCTTCGATTTTGCTTTGATTTTGCTCTTTCATTCTTTGATTTTGCTCTTTCATTCTTTGATTTTGCTTTTTGTCTTTCTTTCTTCATGCATGTGGGTTTTAAGTTTATTTTCTCTGCTAATTTTGTATAATCGGTGTATTTTGAATCGGTATAAATTTGGTAGAATCCCCAGAAATGTATTTTGAAGAAGGATATGTAAGTCCTCTTTCTCCTTTTGCAGTAGGTTCTAAAATTTAGGTTTTTGTTAATTTTTGTGATTGATGTCTTAATTGAAATATTTCCTTTTGCATGTGTATGTTAGAACTCCCGAGGACCTTCAGAGAATACACAATTGTCGCCAGCTGCTTTTACTCTTTCTGCTCTACTCTGTGTTTGAATCAGTCTCCAGGTACATTTTTTGTTTTTCTGCAGGTTCTGGCCCCAACTCCATCTACAACATAAAATAACAAATTTAAAGCAATTATGTCTCAAAAAGTGGAAGTCAATTACATAAATTTGCATTGTTCATATTGTTACATTTTATTAAATTCAATCTTAATCTCTTACACAATACAGACTAAAATGAAACATAAGAATAATCTGCTACGTGCGATATCCTAAAAGTTTTGGTAACTTATTCGAGAAAAGATAAATTCGGATTGAGGCATAGTTACTTGTCAAAAAGAATATTTTGAATTGAGGCATAATTGATTGAATTATTGACTGGGTCAATTGTTATGTTTTACTGATAGTAGAAGGCATCCATCATTTAGGACAAATGGATTGATTATTGGCAACAGGGTTTTGCCTAAGGTCAACTGCAAAGGGATTGAACTAGTAGTGTAGAGCTTAAAATCTTGCTCTATAAATTGCCTGTTGAAGGTATTGCAACTACTGCTTACTGAATAACTGTATTTTTATGATTCAAGTAAAATAGAAAATGGTTCATAATGGTTATAATAGAAAAAGATTCAAAGTCATCTTTGAAGTTTTGGATATTCATTGCATCTGACTGAGTGGTCTGGATGAAAGAGAATTTATATGGTCAACCTTATTAGTTGGGGAATGAGGCATAGTCATAAACAAATTAAATTCGGAATGAGGCGTAGTTACTTATAAAAAATAAAGTATTTAAAATTGAGACATAATCGATTGATTGATTAATTGACTGAACAAACTGCCATGTTTTGTTGATGTCAGTAGAAGGCGCCCCTCATTTGACTAATAGCCTGTTTGGCCAAGCTTATTTTTGGCCAAAAATATATATTTTTTTTTTTTGCCAAAAGCACTTTTGGCCAAAAATTGAGGTGTTTGGCCAAGCTTTTGGAAGAAAAAAATGTGCTTTTGAGGAGAAGCAGAAGCAGTTTTGGAGAAGCAGAAAAAAATAGCTTCTCTCCAAAAGCACTTTTTTGAGAAGAATACACTTAGAAGCAGTTTTTTAAAGCTTGGCCAAACACTAATTGTTGCTCAAAAGTGCTTTTCAAACTAATTAGTCAAACACAAACTGTTTCTCACCAAAAGTACTTTTGAGAAAAGCACTTTTGAAAAAAAGCGCTTCTCAAAATAAGCTTATTTTTGCAGCTTGGCCAAACGGGCTATAAGAACGTGATTATTGGCAAGAGGGTTCTTGCTTAAGTCAACTTCAAAGGGATTGAACCAATATTGTGGAACCTAAAATCTTGCTCTATAGACTGCACGTCCTGTTTAAATTCCCCCTTTTTTCTTGATAGAATTATATAAGTTTGGTGGATTGCAGATAGAGCATTCAGAATGTTAGAAAGTAAAAAACAGTTTCTGATGCCTATATTCAGAATATGATCAATCAGCCCCTGCATCAAAGAATGACTATGTTTGCCTAACATATAACCAATTGTGATATGAGAGAATGATTACATAGCAATATTTTTATGTGCCATTTTTTATTATCTTACAAAATTTTATAATGTTATTGCGTTGATAGGTTACTAAATCATCCTTTATCATGGAAATATTGTAGGTTACAATACCTTCTAATGGACGTGTGTCTACGCAACATTGGATTATAGATGCAATAGGTATTCTAAGCTTCTTGTTTTGATGGGGTTTGGTTTTGATTTTCCGTGATATTTTCCTTGTTGAAACTGTTTTTGCCAACTTGATCATCAACCTTAACAGAATTTTTGTCTTTACTGGGCTGCTACTTTTTATCTATTAATTTAGAACACAGTTTTAGTGGCTAAGGCTTTACATATGATGGACACACTGAATAATTAAAACTTATTATAACTAAAGCAACTTTGACATGATAGATGGGGCAATGGAAAAGACAGCTCCTTTAAAGTGAAGCAGAATTGGAATTATTGCAAACTTATATGGGTCAGTCAGAAACTTATATCATCCATATGGACATAAAGCTTTTTCTAGCCATCAAAATTGATACTTGACCATTCTTGCTAGAAGTTATCAAAAATTCTCCCGGCTATCTTTCTTCAACTAAGGACATGACAGTTAAAATTGACACGACACGCATTTAACATACATTGGCTGTTCTTTTTCTCTTAATTCTGACATTCTGATTCAGCTCGTGAATTGGTCATGGTTTATTTCCAAAAACCTGATTGATTGTTATAAGATTGAAAGTGCTTTCCTGCTGCTTTCATGATAGTTCTTCCCTGAAAGGAATAGAGAGACAAAAGATTCTTATGTATCTGTGGTATCTCACACTGTTTTTATCTTTTAAGATTCGCAAGGAGCTAGCAAGATACTTAAAGTGAAGAAAAGGGACGTGTTAAATTTATCTAATGGAGAACGCATTGTGGTTGATTTTGACGACACGGATTCCACCTGATCAATGGATTTCTTTTGTTGATTACCGCTTTAAAGAAAAAATACAGGTATTTATTTCAATACTTTAACTTTTAATTACTAAGTTAAAACATTTGATTAGAATAAAAATCAAGTACGAGTAAGTATTTACTCATATATTCTGTGGAATCAACGATGGCTACACTCCAAGAATATTACGTAGTAGGGTCAGCAGCAACAGCTTCATTTCTTTTTCTTTTTCTTCATAGTACAAACTAACTTCATTTTGTGGAGGGATATTGTGAAGGTTCTTTACAATTTTGATGCAAATCTTGTTATCCATTTAAAGAATGTTAGGAGCAAGAACACGCGTCTGCTGGGTGCTAACTTAGTGTGCCCGGACAAAGGTGTTGACAGCTATGTGTGTTTTGTGTTAGTTGGATCGATTCTTGAAATATATAGCTAGTTACATTAATTCAGCCTGGGGCTACTATTTGATCTAACATGTCCTATTTCTATCTTGGCCATAACATTATCAATATTTTCAGTAATAATATTACTGCTACTATATTGATCTTTGTTGAGTGGCAAAAGATAATAAGATTGTCCTGCTAGTAGTACTTTTTGCGCTCGTAATGGCTTCCAAAACAAATCATGGCTTCTAAAAATGGCATGTTTCTTCAGTGATTGACTCTACTGTAACCGGAGCTAAGAATTCCATAATGCCACCTGTGGATGTTATCACTTTCACCATATCTTCATTTCCATCTCCAATTCCTCCAAACAAGCAATTTCTTCATAGACAAGTTATATGAAATGATATAACTTCTGCAGTTTGTACAAGCTAAATCTGATTGTTTTGACATAATCTGATTGTTTGCATTCAACTTTCCTTGCCTTATATTTGTTTGGTTGATTTTTTTTCTTTTGTATCTTTTTGTAAGGAAACTTGTAAAAGAAATGCTGAAATTCGGAAGAAACAATTGTTTCACGTATCCGTGGCTACAAATCTAACTCTAGAAGAAGGGTTGGAATGGTAATAATTCATTTTGGATGCTTTAATTAAAGTAGCAATTATTCCTTGTTAGTTAAGTTAATGCGAATTTGACCTTTTCAATTGTAGATGGCTGAGACTGGAGAAAAACATGGACGAGGACAACTTTCTCTCGCTAGACATAGAAATGAAGATGGATCATATGTTAATGAGGCAGCAAAAGAGATAAGTGTAAGACTCTCATTTCTCCAACTTTGAGCAACCAACATCTAAAATGATAAGTGTGTGTATGTATAGGTAGTGATATACCTCTTGCTATATTTTGAGCATTGTCTGAACACACTTCACATTCACAATTGCACCAAAATAACAATGTGTTACTTTATTTGAACTATCTAACCATATTTCTTTCTTTTAGTATTTCACAGTATGAATATCATTATATTATTTTAAGATATACAATGACTTAGATCAATAACTAGATAATTTTCATTTGCATTGCTACGG